ACCTGACATTAATTTACACGAGATTACTCGTTTCAAGCGGAAAATTGACAAATTGCCATTCTAAAAACACAAAAGCGACGGACGTTAATATTGTTTGGTTGCATTTTTGGGAAAAAATTCATAGATTTCATGCACAAGCGTTTCTACTTTTTCCTTCCTTCTCTATGAGCTATAGCCAGTTTAATGAATTTAAATAATTAACGAATTGGCAAATTTTTGTTTTTGCCCGTTTCGACTCACAATTGTTCATTTTGCAACTCTCGAAGTGTAAACTCATGTAAACTCATATGTAAATTTTGGATTTTTTGACTCAAAATTCAGTTCAATGACAGTTAAAAATATCGTAGTTTTAAGAAAGTGTAAGCACGTGTAAACTACAGTTGTTGTAAACTACAGTTGTTAAACTCATTGTTGGCGGCTATTGTGAGTGAAGGCTGTGAAGTGTCCGCTTTACACTTAACAAGCGTTAGAGAATAAAATAAAAGTTATTTGGATGTACATTGTGGTTTTACGAACTCATAATGTAAAAAGCTCGTATGCAACCAAGATTTCCTTCATTTACAAGTCGTATTGATTCTCCAGTTTTAAACGAGTGTAAACTGGTGTAAATTCATTGTTGTCGGCTATTGGCAAGTAAAATGTCCATTTGATACATAATAAGGCTTGGATAATGTCTCAAATCCGTTTTTCCTCTCGTGTAAAATAATGAAAAATATGCAATGGCTTGCAAAATTAGTGTCTGAAAAACGTGTACAAACTTGTCGTTACATGTAAACTATGGGTTTACTGACTCGGAATGTGAGCAAAGTTTTATAGCTGTCGTTTTTGCGCTTTTAAGCAAGTGTAAACTCATGTAAACAGAGTGTAAATTCCTGTACACTACTATGTAAACACACTATGGCCTGCCACTGGCTTGTAAATGTTCTCTTTCTCCAAGGTAACGACATTAGGGAAGTAGAAACAGAAAGCATGTAAGCTATGAACTTTCCGGCTTGGATTGCGACCAAACGGTATCAGAACTGCCGTTTTTGTGCATTTAGATTCACAATTGGTCGTTATTTTTGTGCGTGTAAACCTGTAAATAGTTTACATGAGTTAACACTCACTGAAAGCTGCAAAATGATCAACTGTACGGACAAACATTATAATTTTGGACTGTCGGAGCACGTTTTAAATTGGTAAGTATATCGTTTACATGCGAGATCGTGAATTTTCCTACTCAGTTTACATTATTTTACACTGTCTAAACTGCGAAATAATTAATTGTGAGTATAAGCGGACAAATCGACTGTTTTTAGACTGTTTGATCCACATTTCAGTTGGTAAATCCATAGCTTGCATGCAACAACTGCAAATTACAAGTTTACAAACCCATCACAGGCTAGAGTAAGTTTACAATGTAGTTTACCATGAGTTTACAATCGCGTAAAGGTGAAAAATGTTCCAATAAACTATCAACAAACGAAAAAGGCTGCTTGAATGCAGTTTTCGTTGCAAAAATGGATCTGTCCTTTGTAGGACCGAGTTTACATTGTCTTTCATGATTTTACACTGGCTAAAGCTGCAAAATGAGTCTAAACGGGCAAAACGACTGCTTTGACGCTGTTTAATCAACATTTTAGTGGGTAAATCCTTTGCTTACATGCATGAACTGCAAATTACAAGTTTACAAACCACTGACAGGCTACAGCAAGTTTACAATGTCATTTACTATTAGTGTTTACACTTGCTTAAAGGCAACTAGGTGCCAATGTAGCTCCAAACAAACAAAAATCTTCTTAGACGCATTTTTTGATGCAAAAGCCAAAAACATCTTTCCTTTGTTCGACCGAGTTTACATGAGTTTACACTGACTTAAAACTGAAATATCCAAGTGTAATTCTACATGAAGAAAAATGGCAATTATTTGCAAATTTTTGGCCGAAAGTATGATAGTTTACAGTTTCAGAAACGTGTGGAATTGCGAATTTACACCAATCAATGTTTTTACAGTGAGTTTACTTTGGTATCAGTACAAGTATCCAGGAAACTTTGCAGATAATCCAAAAAAATCCATTCAATTTCCAGATTGATTAAGCACGCTTTAAATGCATGCTCGTTCTCGGTTGCACACTCATACATCCAAACGAAACATTTGCTGCCTTGCGAAGCGACATTGACACAGTAACATTGTAACACATTGCGCTCGGATTAGCACATATTTTTCTTCTTATTGTCCTGCAGACAAAACTGATGGTTTTTCGAACAGTTCAACCACTGAATGTTTAACTTTAACTAAAGCGAAAAAGGTAACAACATTTTGGTAACAGTGAGGTTTCACTCAGATTCTTTTGTCGTTCAGTTCTAACCTCTAAAAACCTAGAAGCAAACACGAATTTATCGCGCCTTGAAGGTGGAACTTGAGCTTGACTTTTTTTTACTGGATCCTAAACAAATGCACAGCACAATGCATTTGCTGAACAAGCATAGTAATCGGGCCATAAATCCTAGACAAACAAGCACGATGATATCGAAATGTATATAGTACCAGTGAAAAAGTGCCAACTTTCGGCTGAGTAATTACGGGTTTCATGTTGGTCGTCTTTATAAAACAATTAGCGTCGACACACTTCGGGAACATTAAAAAGTCTATTTAAATAGCGAACGTCAGTATTTAGTCGAGCTGATTTGCTTCGTCTATGGTCTGCCCAAGCTGTTTGACAGTGACGCAATCATTGGCGTTTCTTTTCGAATAGTTGCCCATTGAGGGAGACGGAAATTTGATGTTCTTGCTCTGTTTTCGGGGTTCGGAAGGTTCCAGCAACGCGCTTTCGTTGTGAAAACAATTTAAGTAAAATAACCCGAATTATAACCAACAATAATCGCACTACAGTTATAGTTATATATAGCTGTTGGCAACACTCGAATCTTCTGTCAATTTAGGAACATTTGCTATTCGGACTTCAAAAGTCCAGACGCCCCCTGGTGGCTAAGATTCAAACTACAAGTTAAGTAGTAATTTGACACTTGTTTTGTTGACATTGGTGTTTACATCTGATTGTGATTTCTTGTGTTTTGTTCTAATCAACTTTTGCTTAGTTTTTAAAGAATAGAAACAGATCGAAAAGTGTGTAGGATTGTTTTATATTATAAATGTCATGAACTCCCATAAATAAACAAGTCTAACAAGTCTCAACTGTCACTCGCCAACGAGGAATTTGACGTTTTGCAGCGCCGCCATCGGTAGTTGAACTCGCAAATTCCGAACCCGTCAAACTTTCGGTTGTTATGTCGCTAGCGGCGTTGCCGCTACGACTTCTTTTTTCGCGCTCGCCGCAACATGGAAGAATACTAAATTATTGACTTGATTTCTTGATTAGTGTTGGCAGTTCCTGTCAACTTTTCCAAGTTATTTCAAATTACCGATACACTTTCTATTTGTCTGTGTTGTTTCGGGTATCGAAAACGCCTCAGCAGAATTATGAGGGCAAAGATTTATTTTTTTGAAGCCAAAATTACAATGTTTTGTTTCAGACAATATGCTTGTCAAAACAATGGAAATTCGACTGTGACAGGCAGCATTAAAGGGACGCTGGCTAGCAAAGTTTATCATGTTTTAGCCATGTTGCCACATTTATATATATGTTTTAATAAAAAAATAAAAGGCTCATTTTGTGTTAGTTTTGTGGTGTAAAACGCCAATAATTGTGTTATAATTCAACTGGCTCTACCAAAACAGGAATGTTCACCGGATAAGATTTGCTTCTTTCGAGGAGGCTTGGCATCACTGTTGTGAGCTTGTTGGCAGTAGGAACTATAGACTATAGAATATGACAGTTGAGTTAGATTTCATTGTTATAGCACGGTTTTAAGAACGTCTTAAAAGCGATCTTTTTTCCATTGATGATAAATTAAACAATCGTCATTCGTATTGCTTGATGTAAGTGTTAATTTGATTTGTCTGCAAATACCAATTAACTTTTTACGAGAGCAGTCGACAACATGGCCTTTAAATTATGTGAAGTGGCAAAAGTGAGGTTAAATTTGCAGAATTTATTGGGCAAATAAACCACTTTGTGTAGTTTCGTTACTAAAATGCCTCAATTTTGCAGGTCTTGGCGCTTACGGGGAGCGTTAAAGTGTGTTATTTTCGTGGTGGGACTTCTGTCTCGCTCAGTGGACAAGTAATAGAAAGGGAACGACAATTATTGCGTCACTGCCAAAAATATTGGATTAGACCATACGATGACTGGCCAAAACCGCCTTTTCGCCTGAAAAAGTGCTAGGAAATGGATAATCTGCAATGCGAGTACTCTTTTATTCCCGAAAACAGAACAGAGCAGATAAATACCCAAAGTAATCACGAAAGTGATTGGTTCGCCCAATGCATTGTTTACATTCAGCAAACGTAACCTCACTTTTGCAACAACTATTTAAATGCCTTTGTTGTCCGCTGCTCTCGTAAAAAGTAAATTGGAATTTTATAGACAAAAAAAATTGCCACACTTAGATTAAGCAATTCTTATGTCAAACTTCTAATTTATCGACTTAAATAAATTTTTTCAAGTCACTCAGGTGAAAAAGCGCTCAAGCTTGCAACCGCGGATTTTGAAAGAAACAATTTCGAACCTATTAGTTGATTTCAATATGGAGTCTCAAGTAATGACGTCACCGCCTGTGATGGCTGGGGTTCAAGTAAAAGAAGTTGTTTTGGGGAAGCAGAGATGCCAGGTCTACCGATTTTTCGGTATATCTACCGATTTGTCAAGGAACTTGCCGATCTACCGATACCATGCAAATTTCTACCGAAAAGTAACAAATAAAAGTTGCAAACATTTCCGTGGATTACTTGATGGATGATATTCCCAAATTTAATAAATGATAGTGAATTACAAGATCTGGACACAGAATGGCGTCGTGTTGCGAAATGTTAAAGAAATTTAAAAAAATTTTGGAAAAATTGAAGAGTTTTGGAGCCAAGTACAAATATTGAAATATGGAGGTGATACATTCGTGTTTCCAATTTTAACCAATTTTATTTGTAACCTGCTTATTCTACATCACTCATCAGCCWAGTTGAACGGATATTTTCACAGGTTAATCTAATGAAAATTTAGTCGAGAAATAAGCTAAAAACGAGTACAATTTCATCTTTACTGACTCATGTTTATTTAGTCTTGCGAATTTTAGTATGCAAAAAACGCGCGATTTTTTGGAGCCCTTTTTTTTGTGATGAGGTTTTGGACCACCCAACCAGCTCGAGGTGTGCGTAACAGAGCATTTCCAAAATCTCACCAGATGGAGCCCTTAATAATAAAAGAAAAATGAGTCTACCGATTTTCTACTGAAAAGTGTCGAGCTTATCTACCGAAACTCGATTTTCGGACCTGGCAACCCTGTGGGGAAGCGAGTCGAACTCCGGCGAACGGTTTCCGACTGTGCGCTCTCGTGTAATGACAGTTCTGCGTTAATAATGTTTGCTCAGACCGTGAGCGCGCTGTTTCGCGCTTCTGAGCTGATCTCAGCTGATCGAAGAAGTTATTTTCATGCTTGCCAGGTCTACCGTTTTTACGGTGGATCTCTGTTTTCATGAGAGCTCCTGCTCTACCGCTATCAGAACCTACTACTAAACGTTACGTTAAATACTTTAAATCTAACTATTATATATTACACTATTTGTCAACAAATCAACTACATTGCACTGCGATTGGCGATTGGATTACATGTTTTTTCTTTCGTTTTTCGTTTCCTAAAGCGCGCCTCGGAGCTTCGCTGACACCTTCTTGGCTGAAGACCACTTAAAAAGTTCGAAACGCTCAAATTTACGAACATTTAATTATCTCCCGTTTTGTTTTTAAATCTATTCTATAACTATCTATCTAATCTATGTTTTTCATGTCTATTCTACCGCTTTTGTAGTACTTGACCTGGCAACACTGGTCATGTTGTGAAAATTTTAACCATATTTTTCCAAAAACAAAACAAAATGGTTGCTTAAGTGATTCTAATTTGCTTCACAGGAATTCACAATGCACAGATGTTTCGTCGGCTTTTATGTTTGGTGGTTTTTACAACCAGTCTTTTACATTATCGGTTTTCCAATAGCGGTAGGAAATATTTCTTCGATCGATCATATTTGATCGTCATACTCATAAAGACAAGCCCGGAGTATAGATTATGAGTGAAGTATTTCAGTGCTTATTTTAACAAATATCTTAAATGGAACATAAGTGTGGATGTTATTGCTAATAAGGCAAAAAGGCACTTTATATTTTAAGGTCAGTATGAAGAATTTAGTGGGTGTCAAATGCAGCCACCCTTCTGATTATATTTCAAGTTTTAGATGCATCTCATTTAGATTTCGAAGCAGCCCTCTTGAAACTAGTTAACCAAAAAACGCTCAACCAATAAGCTGAATGTAGTTTAATGCGGAGGCCTTTATATTTGCCTGCTTTACACGAGATCCACCCCTAGAGCAGCATTCTTGGCTGCTGCTCTACCTATGGTGGAGTGGGAGCAGAAAGGGAAAGTTGCTGCTGTAAAAACGAAATCTCTATCTATGGATATTCAAATTTGAAGATGAAAATCCGGTTTGCTGAAATGTTCTTTGTTACACGTATGTACCGATGCTCTTAGTTATATGAGCATCTAATTTATTTAAAGATGAATAGGTAGCACCTTTTAAGAAAGGTTATCGTAATTGAGCTGCTATAAAGATGTTCAGCCGATTATTGATACCTTGCTTTATAACGATTACAAATGTCCGCCAAAAACCATTTATTTTATTTATTATAACTTATATTTTCCAATGTGTAATGTATGTAACAAGTGTGCAAAATATCAATACGTATTTATGCAATTGCTTTGCCAGTGTATTTTTCATCCCATAACCCTAAAAAGTCTAAAATAAAATTGAATATGGCGCCAAATTGAAAGCTAGGTGTCTCAGACCGCAAGAGCGCTGCCAGCGCTGGAAGGTCTAAATAGTAAAGAGTGACTAAAGACTAAAAGAGTGGAAGGTCTAAATAGTATGTAGTCTGTGGCCAGACGATTCGACTGATTAGAGTTGATTGATTGCGGATGCGTCCCTATTGGAATAATTGTTGATCTTTGCACTATCGAGCGGTTTAGATGCGAAGCCGCTTTCGCAACGTTAATCAGATTAGGTTCGTCCTGACAGACCTCCACTGGAAAAACTAGAAGGTCGCACTTGTACCGCGCAAAAAAGCGACAATTTTCGCTAGATGTGTGCAGTTTAAGCGACGGCAACGTTGCCGTTTGCGTAAGAAATTTCGCTTGGAGAGGAGTATTGGATGTGAAAGTGATGTGATGTTGCATTTACTCGGACAATAACTGAAAGTTTATCGGACGTCGGGCATGAGAACTGGTCGAACAGCAAAGGTTGCTGTGGGGAGTGATTTTCGTTTTTTTTTGTTTGTCTTACATCCGCCGGCTCGTTATCATCATCCTTTTCCTCTTCCTCCGTCCGCTTTGTTGTTTATCATCGGGAGGATGGCGATGGGTGAGGTGGTTCCGAACGGGGCTGCTCCGCCCAATGAGCGGCAACGCCGCAACGGCGCACGAGCGTCGTCAGCGACTTCGACGGTTTTCGCTCTTCTTCGTCTGCGTCATCGCGACCTACTAACCTCGTTAGCGGACCTCGCGGCGCTGTTGTGATGTGTTGGCGCTGCCCGAAGTGCGGCGAAACCGGCCGATTTCATTCAGTCGCCGACAGTTGCGAAGTGTAGTCACGAACAGCGGAACCGCGTTTCAGTGTCAGCGGATTCGCGAACGTTTGCCGTCGCGACGTTCATCCGCTCGCGCGTTTGGGAAACTTGACATCGTCGCACACCGGCGAACTTGATTCTATCAAGTCGGCGATGGCCGCTGCTCTTGTTCCTACTTGGATTACGACTTGGTTACTTCATCTCTAATACGGGGAACAGTGTCAGTGGAATCTGTGACTACTAACCCAACTTTCCTTTTAGCGTCGTTGCTAATTAGTGTGGCTGTGCGATTATGTGTGCTCTAGTCAGTGCGTAACTGTCCTGTGATTGTAGCTCCTTTTTCCCCCTTTTGGATATAGTATGTTGGAACACAGTGCTATGTATCTCAACGCTACTCCCCCCTATGAAGAGGACACCTTCTTTTCAGAGTTTTACACACGGTGGGTGGAACGCAAGTTTTTCGCTTTGGTGTGGTCAGTTACAGCACTTCATTTTTCATGCCAACACCATTTTTCATATTCACCCACATTCAAGGCGAGGAATTAGGCATGTGGTTCAATAGGAGCAAGCACTAGCCACCAAACGGGACATGTTTTCCAGTTGCTTAGCGACAACCAATGGACTTCGAGCGCTCCTCCAATGGAACGCGACCGTGATATTTTTCAACTCTTTGGCAATTTTCCTTTTTATCACTTGGTTTGTTGGGAGTTGGTTGATCCACACAGTCCTCTTGTGGAAACAACATTCAATTTTCGGTTTTCAAATGCGGTCATACGAACCACTGGAAGCCGGCAAAAGCAACTTGGGCTGAAAACGCTCGAAAGAGCGACTGTTATCAATGCGGTTTCAAAGGGAATTTCAAATTGTGGATCGATTGAAGTTTAAAATATCGGAAAACGCGATTGAAATAAAAATGAAAAAAAACTCGATTTTAGAAAAAAAATTGAGCGGCGATCTTTCATGGCTCTGAAACGGGCTTGAGTGTAAACTGATGCAATAAAACTATAGAAACTGTTCTATAGCGTTCTGTTCTCTGTTCTAACATGCGGTAAGCGTTCGCATTTGATCGCGGATTTTCTTGATGTTTCTTTTATATTTTAAATACTGATCGTTTAAGAGTGCGAAAATGATACGAACAATAATGAATGAGTAGAAAATTTGCAAAGAGGCTCAGAAGAGTTTGCGACTGTTAATAATGCGCTTTTACAGAGTCAGCACCTGTAAATTTCGAATTATGATCCGATTGAGTTTTAAAATTGCAAAAAATCGCTTTTGAAAACAAAAAATCAAACGATTTTATGGAAAACAAGTCCATTTTCAACAATTTTGATGACTGAAACGGGCTTGAGTGTAAACTAATGCAATAAAACTATAGAAACTGTTCTAGAACATACGGTAAATCGCTCGCATTTGATTGCAACTTTTCTTGATGTTTCCTTCATATTTTAAATCCTGATCGTTTAAGGACGCGAAAATGATACGAACATTAACGAATGAGTCTAGAAAATTCGCTAAGTCGCTCAGAAGAGTTTGCGACTGTTAACAATGCGCTTTTACAGAGTCAGAACCCGTAAATTTTGAATTCTGGTCTGATTGGGGTTTAAAATGGCAAAAAATTGCCTTGGAAAACAACAAATCAAACGATTTTATAGAAAAAATTGGAAAACAGGCCATATTTCAGCAATTTTGATGGCTCTGAAACGAGGTTGAGTGTAAACTGATGCAATAAAACTATAGAAACTGTTCTATAGCGTTCTGTTCTCTGTTCTAACATGCGGTAAGCGTTCGCATTTGATCGCGACTTTTCTTGATGTTTCTTTTATATTTTAAATACTGATCGTTTAAGAGTGCGAAAATGATACGAACAATAACGAATGAGTAGAAAATTTGCAAAGACGCTCAGAAGAGTTTGCGACTGTTAATAATGCGCTTTTGCAGAGTCAGAACCCGTAAATTTCGAATAGTGGTCTGATTGAGGTTTAAAATGGCAAAAAATTGCCTTGGAAAAGAACAAATCAAACGATTTTATAGAAAAAAAAATGGAAAACAGGCCATATTTCAGCAATTTTGATGGCTCTGAAACAGGGTTGAGTGTAAACTGATGCAATAAAACTATAGAAACTGTTCTATAGCGTTCTGTTCTCTGTTCTAACATGCGGTAAAGCGCTCGCATTTGATCGCGACTTTTCTTGATGTTTCTTTTATATTTTAAATACTGATCGTTTAAGAGTGCGAAAATGATACGAACAATAACGAATGAATCTAGAAACTTTGCAAAGACGCTCAGAAGAGTTCGCGACTGTTAACAATGCGTTTTCACAGAGTCAGAACCTGTAAATATCGAATTATGATCCGATTTTAAAATTGCAAAAAATCGCTTTTGAAAACAACAAATCAAACGATTTTATGGAAAACCAGCCCTTTTTCAGCAATTTTGATGACTGAAACGGACTTGAGTGTAAACTAATGCAATAAAACTATAGAAACTGTTCTAGAACATACGGTAAATTGCTCGCATTTGATCGCAACTTTTCTTGATGTTTTCTTTATATTTTAAATACTGATCGTTTATGAGTGCCAAAATGATACGAACAATAACCAATTAAGTAGTCTAGAAAATTTGCTAAGTCGCTCAGAAGAGTTTGCGACTGTTAACAATGCGCTTTTACAGAGTCAGAAGCCGTAAATTCGAATTATGTTCCGATTGAGTTTTAAAATTGCAAAAAAACTAACCCAAACTAATGCAATAAAACTATAGAAACTGTTCTAGAACATGCGGTTAAGCGCTCACATTTGATCGCGAGTTAGATGTGTTCTTCATATTTTAAATCCTGATCGTTAAAGAACACAAAAATGATCGAACATTAACGACTGAGTCTAGAAAGTTTGCTAAGACGCTCAGAAGGGTTTGCGTCTGGTAAGAATGAAAATTTCGAATTGTGGTCCAATTGAGGTTTAAAATTGCGAAAAACCAGCAATTTCAGGGAACAAATCAAACGATTTTTGAGAAAAAAAGGACAACAGGCGATTTTTCTGCAGTTTTGATGGCTCTGAAACGGGCTTGAGTATAAACTACTTAATGCAATAAAACTATTCTGTTCTAGATGAGGTAAGACAGTCGCAATTGATCACGAGTTTTCTTGATATGTTTAGTTTACAATGCCCAAAGTGCCGAATATTTAAAATTCTGATCGTTTAATACACAAAAACGATGCAAATATTAACGAATCCTTCTAGAAAATTCGCTAAGACGCTGAGAAGAATTCTCGCTTTTACCGCGTCAGAACCGATAAATTTCGAATTGTGGATCGATTAAAGTTTAAAATAACGACAAAGCGCCACTGAAAAGAACAAATCAAACGATTTTAGGAAAAGAATGTTAAAATTTTTGAAGTTGAGCATTTTGATGGCTCTGAAAGGGGTTTAAGTGTACCGTTCTAGAAAATGCGATGGCAAGCTCGAAAGAGCTCGAGATAATTCCAAATTGAAAACTCCTGCAAATGTGTAACTTTGGACTCTTGAAAACTTGAAAAGCCTCCGCCTGATTAAATTTTTTTAATTTGCGAAAGGCAATCGTACCCACTTAAAAAATCGTATTTTGAGGTAGATTTTAAAAAAATTATCATAATCATTGAAACTGCATGCAACTTTGAAACCTTGGAATCTTGGATACTTGCGCTTGCTTCTCCTACTAAAGTACAAAAATTCCGGTTTTCTACCTGCTCTTGATAAGATTTGAGGAATTTTCAGACATTGGCGCCCCATTTGAACACTCAATTTTTACGTAAATTGTGAAAAATGCGCCAAAATCAACGAAAATTTGTGGACAACTTTTGGGGTCTTAAAAATTTGCATCGTTTCTATCAGAATGTTAAAGGCTCGCTTTATCTGCTCTTGATAGTATTTGAGAAATTTTCAAAAACAATCGCGCTCAACTAAGACAGATGTTGAAGTAATGTTGGAAAATTTCTCAAAAATGACCGGAAATTTTTGCAAATGTGAAACTTTGGACTCTTGACTAGTTGCGCCTCTTCTAGTGAAACACAAAAATTCCATTGCATTACTTTTGCTCGATAAGATTTGACAAATTTTCAAAAATAATCGCGCCCCATTTAAACCCGCGATTCAGCAGAGCGGCGGGAATTTACAATAGGGTGTTTTCATTGTTTCAAAAATTCCTACAAGCTGAACATTAATCTATGGTAATATATTTATATGAAAGATTAAATAAGTGCATACTACCTATCTATTACAGTTTTGTTAAATATTTAATAAACAAATTCAAATTATTCATGAATCTCTGAAACGCAATCCAATTGGTTGTGACGTCTCTGGTCATATAAATGGCGGATTGTTTACGTTCTGTGCATAGTGTTTAGTTGTTTGGTTGTGTTTCATTAATTATTTTGTGGATTTAAATAATTTATAGTTTGTGTTAAACTAAAAAATCGCTTCAGAAGGATTCCTTAAAACGTCAACAAACAATTTACCATGTGTACATATTTTAATGGTTACCGAATTTTTTAAAAACGACGAACGCCGATTCAGCCGAATTTAAGGGTGTCAAAGCAGCAGCGTAAGTAAAAATACGTGAATTCATTGTTAGTTACTCTCTCCTTAATATACTAAACTGTCTGTATTGGTTTAAGTTACGGAACTAATATATAGAATGTCACTTATTCAACTTAACCTAACCTATACACATGGCTGCTTTAAAAGTAAAATAAACCCTTAAATTTGTATTTTGGACATCACGAGAACAATATGGTGATATCGGATATGTGGAATTGAAACCTGAGGGTTCTTTGCGCACTGTAGCAGGTAGAATTTGCCCAGAACACAAAGTACGATCGAAGGCATATTCTATCTGCCTCATCATTAGCTTTTTGTTCGTACTTTCATTAAAATGATCCTCGCAACAAAAAAAACATTGATTTTGATTTAGGAGCATCACGTCTAGCTGCTTTGAACCGTATAACTTTACGTGCATAATCATGAGGAACGGTTAGAAAGAGTTTGTTTGGAGCACTTATTGAGGTATTTTTGCATCCTGGCACAAAACACCACTTATTTTGTGATCCATACATGTCACTATTCTCCATTATCCAAGATAATAATAATAATCAATAAAATAATGATAATTACAATAACTTAAATAATAAAACAAAGCTGCGAAATACAACGAAATGAACATGAGACACTTTGTTGATATGACCTGCTACGTCACAATCGGGATCGGCAACCGACGATACGGATTCGGCGTTTTTGGAGGAAAATATCTGATTTGAATTTAAATTCGCTTTAAAATTATTATAGACACTTTTTTGCAAAAAAAATTATATAACTGTAATGTTTGCCATAACTACTTTATATATATCAACATAAAAAAAAGTGAAAACACCCAATTGTGGATCGACTGCGGTTTAAAATGACGGTAAAA